AACCCTCTCCTCTGCATCCCAGTCCTCCACCTCCACCGAGGGGCCTGTGGGGCAAGGCCAGCGTTCTGCCGATGGGGCGGTTTCCCTAGGTGACGGCCATGCCAAGAGTGGGCCGGGGCCCGAGACCACTCGCCTGTCCCCGCTGGGCAGTTACTCTCCGGTGCGTAACAACGTGCCTTTCTTCCAAAGCGGGGAGTCGTCCTCCTGCTCGCCCACCCCGGAGACGCAGCCCCCCCGCAGCAAGTCCTGTCCAGTCTCCGCCAACCTCCTGCCCAGCACCAGAGCTTCTCCAGCTGCTGGCAGCTGTGCCACCCAGGGGCGTCCAGGGGCCGGTGTCTCACACAAGCAGAGTGAGAGCCCCTCTCCGGTGGCCAAGAAGGAGGAACCCCCCGGCCTGCCTGCATCACTGGCCAAGGACCGGCTCCCAGTTGGCTCCCTCCTGCCGTTGTTGTCTGGGGGCTGGAGCCTGGCCGGAGCGGAGACCCACAGTGAACCCCAATGGAAGATAGGGGGCAGCGAGGCTGCCAGCTTCAGCTCCTTGGGCGTTGGCATCACCCGGCCTCTCAATGGTAGGTGGGCATTGCAAGGAAAGGCTTAACTTTGCATGCCCGGAATGTGTGTGTGTGTGTTCATTTGTCCTAAAGGTAAATAACTGGGGGGAGAGGGGGTTTCCGTTCTGCCCCTTGTAGTTGAGGATTTAAGGGACCCTGAAAGTCCATCAGTTCACAGCCAGGAACATTGAGATGACCAGCCGTGTTCCTAGGGAGCCTCCAGGCCCTTTGCCTCCCTGGCCATCTTGGGCAGTGCCAAGAGGGGGGCTCCACGTGGGGGATCAGCCTCCCCGGGGGGGGGGGCATGCAGACCTGTCTGGTCCTGAGCCCATTTGTGCCCTTTCACCAGAGGCAAAGTGTGGGAGGAGGTGGTGAGGGGTCTCTGCTTGGTAGGCAGGGCCCCCTTCACCCCTTCCATCTTGCCTAACCCATGAGGCCCTGGCCAGGTGGCTCCCCTGCATGGATCAGTCTCCCTGGCTGCAATGCCACTCCTGCTGAGTTGCTACTCACAGCCACCTGCCTCTGTCTCCTTCTCGGCTCCCCTCCCGCAACCGGCCTGTTGCGCCCACAGCCAACCACCTGTCCCTGCAAGCTCTGAAGTGGCGAGAGTACCGGCGGAGGAACCCCCTGGGGCTGGACCGCGTCTCAGACCTGGCAGGGCTGACCGGATGCCTGGACTGGAAGCCGCCGGAGAGCAGGACCCCCTGGAGGAACCCTCTGCTGGAGATGCCGGTGGGCCATTCCGGACCCAGACTCCACGGTGGGCCTCGGCTGTGGCGGCTCCCCTCCCTGGCTGCTCTTGGCTGCTCAGCCCAAGGAAAGGCTGCTTGGGGGCCATGGGCTTGACTCAGGGCTCCCCCGCCTCAACCTGGCCTGGGGTCTCTCTGGGGTCAGAGATACCACGGATGGGATTTAACTTTCTTTAGCCGTGGCTTTCCCCAGTCTCGGCCACCCAGAGGCTGCTTGGAATTGGGCAGCCCCGGAGACCATCAAGTAACAGGTGGGTGTGCCGTGTCCCCCCCTCCTCCCCCCGCGTCTTGCAGGACCCGCAGTGAAAGAGCCACAGCAGAGCTTCCCCGACTTCTTCCCCGACTGTTTCTCCTTGGCCGAGAAGCCGCCGGCTGAGTTCTGTCTCTCCCCTGATGGCAACACAGAGTCCGTCTCCGTGGATCTGCTGCAGAAGAAGGGTTGGTCCGGGGGGGGGGGCTGGGGAGGGCCCCCTGGCACTTGCACCCTTCCAAGGTTTCTTCCATAGGTGCTGGGGGTGGGGTTTCCGTAGGGGATATCAGGTGGGGGCCTTCTCAGCAGCTGCTGCTGCTTGCAGAGGTAGAGGACGGAGGGCAGTGAGGAAGGCCATGGTGCCCTCCAACCGTGGCAGCCCAGCTGGAGGTTCCTTGCCTGGAGCAGAGCCGTCTTTTGAGGGGGCTTGGGGGGATGGGACCCTCTGGTGGTGTCAGGAGAGGAGGCTCTGCTCCCCCTGAGCTGTTTCCATATTTAAGCCCCCACAAATGTTAGGCCTGGGGAGCATGTTCCATGTGTGGGGCAGACAAGGGGTGGTTGCAATCTTTCCCCCCTGCAGGAGGTACCTGAGGAGGTTCCTGGAGGGAGGGGGTCTTTGGAGAAAGGGAGACTGGGGTCTTTAGGGTCCCCCAGCTGCTCTGCACTCCCTACGCTTTCAGCCCCCCCCCCTCCCATACAGCTTGAGAGGAGGAGAGAGGAGGGGTCATTTGACACAGAAGAGCCCTCCCACCCCAAATTTCTGGAGCCAGAATAGGCCCTCCAAAGTCCTGGATAGGAAGGAGGGGTGTAACGTTCCCGTGGTTCGCCCATGGGGCCAATGTTGAGAAAAGACAGGACACAACCTTTCTCGGGATGGAGCGACCCAGATTGGGGGTCTGAGAGCCCCTTTTATTGAGATAGGACAAAGGCAGGAGGAGCAATAGCATGTG